GGTTCATCCTAGGGCCCCTGTAATTGCAGCTACTCAAGAGATGGGGGCAGAAGCACTACAAGTTCTGGGTCAGCCTCAGCAAAGTCAGGGAGACCTGGTTTCAAAAACAAACAAAAGGGATGGGAATGGGAATGTAGATTGCTTAGCATGCTCGAAGTTCTGGGTTGGAATTGCCAGTTTCACATAAATAGAAAAAGCCAGAAGTGGCACCGTGGCTCAAGTGGTAGAGTTCTAGCCTTGAGCAAAAGAGCTCAGGGACAGTGCTCTGGCCCTGAGTTCAAGCCCCAGACTGGCAAGAAAAAAAAAAGATGGGCTGGGAAGGTGGCTCAGTGGTAGAGCGCTTGCCTTGCATGCATGAGGCCCTGGGTTCAATTCCTCAGCACAACATAAGCAAAAAGAAAAAATCCAGAAGTGGCGCTGTGGCTCAAGTGGTAGAGCACTAGCCTTGAGCTGAAGAGCTGAAGGACAGCGCCCAGGCCGAGTTCAGGCCCCATGACCGGACCCCCCCCCAAAAAAAAGAATACCCAAAAGATACTGATCAAGAGATAGCATGTCTGTCAGTACTGAAAGGAACCACCTGGTAAAACAGCCATGAATCACTTCCTTTTTCTCTTTTCTTGGTCTCTGTCTCTCTGTGTTTGTGTCCCTGTCCTCCCTCCCTTTCTCTCTCTCTCTTGCTCGCTCACTCTCTTTCCCTCCCCTGAAATTTTTGTTCAAGACTAGAACCCTACCACTTGAGCCACAGCTCCACCTTCTGAATTTTTAGTGGTTAAATGGAATAAGAGTCGCACAGACGCTCCTGCCTTGGCTGGCTTTGAACTGAGATCCTAGGATCTCAGCCTTCTGCGTAGCTAGTATTGCAGATATGTGTAACCAGCACTTGGCTCTTGCTTCCCTGTTTTCATTCTTTTATGGAATTAAAAAGTATAATGTAGCCGGGTGCCGGTGGCTCATGCCTATAATCCTACCTACTCAGGAGGCTAATATCTGAGTCAGGCAGGAACATCCGTGAGACTCCAATTAACCACCAAAAACCCAGAAAGTGGCTCTGTGGCTCAAGTGGTAGAGCACTCATCTTGAGCTGAAGAGCTCAGGGATAGTGCCTAGGCCTAGAGTTCAAGCCCCATGACCACCACCAACAAGAAAAGTATAATGTAGACCATGACATGCCTTCAAACTCTCACATGATTATTGTTGCACCGGGTATGAGCCCCATTGCCCAGCTGTCTTTTATCTTCTTTAGTAAGTGTTTGCCAATTTCCATAAGAAAAAAAATTGGTGGGCTGGGAAGGTGTCTTAGTGGTAGAGTGCTTGCCTCGCATGCATGAGGCCCTGAGTTCTACAGCAACACATAAGCAGAAAAAGCCAGAAGTGGTGCTATGACTCAAGTGGTAGAGTGCTAATGAACCAATATAAACCTATTGTATAAATATAGATTTGAGCAAAAAGAATCAAGTTGCAGATCAATTTACAAGATAGCATTGACATGAAACTTTAAAAGTTTAAAGCAAGGGGCTGGGAAGGTGGCTCAGTGGTAGAGCGCTTGCCTTGCATGCTCGAGGCCCTGGGTTCGATTCCTCAGCACCAAATAAGCAAAAAGAAAAAAAGCCGGAAGTGGCCCTGTGGCTCAAGTGGTAGAGCGCTAGCCTTGAGCTGAAGAGCTGAGGGACAGTGCCCAGGCCCAGAGTACAAGCCCCACGACCGGACCAAAAAAAAAAAAAAAATGTACTCATTACCTTGCCCATGTAATTGTAACCCCTCTGTACGGTATTTTCACAACAAAAAAAATAAGAGGATGTCCCTTCCTAGAAACCCGGAAACGTGGGCTCTTCCTCGCTCTGCTTCTCTGGCAAGGCTATCATCTAGATATGATTTCCTTATTGGTGAATGCAGAAAGATTGCCAGGTTCCTCCAGTCTCCTTTCAACCTAAGCCTAAGAGTCTAAAACTTCTCCATTACCAAACCTCACACCGGGAAGGCTATCCAGCGAATGAAACATTCTCTCTCTCGCTCTCTCTCTCTCTCTCTCTCTCACACACACATTCAGGATAGATCCTTTTCTCACTCCACAGTTCTTTCTCCTGAGAAGTGTAGTAGAGTGTAGTAGAATTGTCTGGCCACAGAGACACCTAGATTGACCCATCTTTCTGAGTCTCAGTGTCCTTATTTCCAAAACGAGGGTTATGACACCTACCTCACATTGCTGTAGTGAGGCTGATAGATAACGTGTCTGACAGAAGAGCTGTTAAGAATAGGAATAAGAAAATCTCATTGCGGGTGAAGAGAATCGCGCTTTTCGCGCTCCCTTCTAACCAGTTAATTTAGCCTCCCGAAGTGAGAGCAACCAATCAGAAACCAACAGGACCAGTTGCTTGGCGACACTTCGCTCCGCGAACGGCATGCTGGGAATTGTAGTACGTTGACTGACGACACAAAGGGGGCGGGATCGCGTCGGAAAGATCATATTTAGCGTCCCATTGCAACGGCCTCCCTTTATCACGCCCGACTTCTGCGTCAAAAAGCCTACAGTGAAAATCGTCAGCCATGACGACTCCTTTCTACCCCCGCTGGAGTAAGAGCTGAACGTAGAGCGGCACAATGCGGAGCCCACGGTGCGAGTCCGGAGAGACGTTCCCGGAGCAGGAAGGGGCGGGGCCATGCGTCATAGAGGCGCCGCCTCCCCGATCACTTCCGTAAACAAAGGGCGCTGTGGAGGCTCCAGGAACGTGAGCGGAGCCCAGTTGCAGCCGCGGCCGTGGCCTCCGAGACTGTGGGAAATTTGCAGGTTGTGGAGAGGGACCCGAACCCCCTTCTTCTTCGGGTATGTAGTGGAAGTGGATCTCCTCCTTTAAGCCCTTCCACCACCCACCCTGCTGGGAGCTGGGTGGTGTGGGGTCGTGGCATGGGCGAATCGGATGATGGGATGAGGCCGCGGCCCGGCCCTGCTCGGAAGACCTGACCTGCTTCGGAGTCCGTGCCCGAGTAAGTAGCCGCCGGCCGTGGCCGGAGGGGTCCCGGACGCTCGGTGTACAGGAACGCTTTCGGCGATCCACGACACTTGCTACTTTACCAAAACGAGGCTCTGGCCCCTCAGAGCAGCGTATGTCAGGCTAGTGAGAGTTTTTTATTTGTTTTCTTTGCTTGGATTTTTTCCCTTTTTTCCCCCTTGTATTACCAGACGTGTATTCGCATCTTTTAATTGGAAGGCCAGTTGTTAATATGTATCATAATTCACACTGATTTTTATTATTATTCTTTTGCGGTGATGACACTGGAATGAGAATTCAGAGCCTTAAAGTTGCAGTGCAGGTGCTCTGCCACTTGAGTTATGCCTCCAGCACCCCGTTGCCTTTTAAAGTTCCATTTGATTTCTAGTGGGTGTTGGAGCATTCATAACACGATTTGTTTTGTTTTTAAAAATTCTTTTTAAAGAAAACATTGTCACCCTGGTCCTAAGTGAATTCATTGGTATCTTGAAATGGAGGCTATGCATTAGATCCTTTCCCAGAAAGCCTTTTTATTTTTTTGCAGGTATCATAGGTTTGGCTGTGACAGCCAATCTGAGCCCAGTGGCTTAAATTTCCTTGCTTATGTGCCGAGTGCAGAGAGGAAAAAAAGTCCTTAAGTATTTTCAGAGTGGTTGAAATGGGTTTGGATCTTTCTGAAAAGTCATATGATTAAGTTGATGCTATTTTTTTAGAAAGACCTACTGTTCCTAAGGCAATTTATGATCCAATGAGTTGAATGACCATGTAAATATCTTATGGTACTTGAATCATGAAGTCAAGGGGAAAAAAACCCCAGATTTTGGAGCACACAGAATTTAACCCAATGAACAAATAATAAAGAAATGGAAAAAAGATAACAACACCCATTATGAAAATAATGGTAAATATATGAAATAAGATACTGTGATAAATAGAAGGTTTTAAACATATTCTCCATGGACTGGCTATCTGTAAGTAGTGCTAATCTTTCTCCTTTTCTTTCTTTCCTTTCTTTCTTTCTTTCCCTCCCTTCCTTCCTTCCTTTCTTCTTCTTCTTCTTTCTTTCTTTTTTTTTTTCTTCTCTCCCTCCCCCCCTTCCTTTTTTGAGACAGGGTCTTGTGTCCTTTTTCTTCAATCTCCTGAATATTTGGATTAGAGGCATGTATCACCACCTGCCATTGACCTCTTTAATTCTGAGGTCTTTGGATCTGTGAAATGGGCCTTCAAACCACTTATATTGTTGCATATTATAGCATACATATGTAAATAACTGTATTTTCTTATTTAGGTGTTAAGAAACTGGCCTTGGTTCAGCAAAGAACTTGAAATGGAAGAGCGAAAGGTGAAGAGGAGGAGTCCTAAGTCTTTTAGTGCCCACTCCACTCAGGTTAATGCCAAAAAAAATGCCATTCCAGTGAGCAAAAGCACAGGGTTTTCAAATCCTGCCTCACAATCAACTTCCCAGCGACCAAAGTTAAAAAGGTGAATTCTTTCACAGTAAAATGTTATTTATTGCCAAACCATCTTTTTATAATGCTCTATTTTTAATTTTTTTTTTTTGGTCCGATCATGGGGCCTGAACTCTGGACCTGGGCACTGTCCTTCAGCTCTTCAGCTTAAGGCTAGCGCTCTACCACTTGAGCCACAGTGCCACTTCTGGCTTTTTTCTTTTTGCTTATGTGGTACTGAGGAATTGGACCCAGGGCCTCATGCAT